GGGGAGGGGAGGGAAGGAAAGGTAGGGAGGGAAACAGCAGCAGCAATTTTAATGTTCTCTTGCTGTTTTCTATACACATTGTTGTCCAAAAAGGCACAGATGATTGTGGTCTTAGAAATGTAATTTGGGAAGCTCACATTTTAGTAATATTTAGAACTTACAGAGAAGTTTAAAGGGTCTTTTCAAGGGTGACAAAGATGAAGTTTAAGTGAGTTACATAGGTTTTTTTGTCAAGAATTACAATTTGAGAATAGGTCATTGGTCTAGTATAGAACAGCTTAGACCATACCATTGTTCTAGGAAGGAATTAGTCTATATAATCCTTAGAGTACTCCTTCTCAGCAAAAAAACTTTCTTTTGGCATGTCAGCAAGTGGTCACCTCAGCACAAGTTGGAGACCAAAGGTCACAATATGTAGTCAACTTTTTTTGAAAAACATCATACAGCTGTCATGAAAAGACAATATTCAGAGGGCATTTTTCATTGAGAGCAGGTACTTTATTTAGATAAGCACTATTTTGTGTATACCAGGAAAGCTTAGGAGGAATGAATAATCTAACACTACATTGACATTAGGATTAAAGCTGTATTAAGTAATGCTTATGCTTTTGTAACTCATGAAATACTACTTAAGTTTTATGGATCATATTGGTTTGGTTGGGTTTTTTCCTCAACAGTGAAAAGAACCTCTAGCTTGCCTTGCTTTACAGTACAAAAGGAGAAGCACATTGCATCCTAAACCTTTTACTCATGCTAAACTGGGCTTTATTTGTCTTTTCCTTTCATGTCACCTACAGGTAGTCAAGCACTCAGCACACAATAAATATTTATCTTCTAAGTGGTTACTTAATTTTAAAATGTTAATTACCCCTGTAAAGAAGAGGAGCAACTTTTCACAATTCTCTAAAAATAGAATTAAATTAAATACTGTGTCTATACCCAGTCAAATAAAATATTGTTTTCCTAATCGCTAAGCATCTATAAATAACTCCAAATAGCAGCAGGAAGGATCTTGGGCTGCTAAATTTTAATCACTGCTCTGTCAATAACTACCTCTTTGACTTCAGAGAATACCCTTCCACATCCCCGGACCCCTTACTTCTCTCCCACCCCACCCCTAGCCCCACCACTGTGTCCTCCCACCCCCAAGTGACTCAGTCTACATTACTCCATAGAATGGTTTTGGGAGCTGAGTGTGGTTGCTCACACCTGTAATCCCAGCTACTTCAGAGGCTGAAGCAGGATTGAAAATTTGAGGCCAGCCTGGGCTCAAACAAGAGCCTGTCTCAAAATAAAAATTAAAAGATGGCAGAGGCTGGGGATATAACTCAGTGGTAGAGTTACTTGCCTAGAAGCATGAAGCCCTGGGTTTAATCCCGTGTGTGGGGGGGGTGGGGGATGCCTGTCTCTTTCTCTCTTTCTCTCTCTCTCTCTCTCTCTCACACACACACACACACACACACACACACACACACATTTTGAATAAAAGTAAATGCAGGCAAGTTCTGATTTCAGGGGTGTTAGATTGTGTTAGACCATAAATCAACAAACTATGAGAGCCAAAGTTGATCATCTACTAGTTTGTTTGTCAACAGATTAAAGCAACATTTTTTTAATTGTTAAAAAAAAAAAACATGGTTTACCATCTTTGTATGGTTCTGGGGATTAAACCCAGGGCCTTGTGCATGCAAAGGAACCATCTACCAACTGAGCTATATCCCAAGGCCCACATGATTTACTATCTTAACCACCACTTTTAAGTATATAGTAGTGTTGAATACAGTCATATTATTGAATAACTAATCTCCAGACTGTATTCATCTTGCAAATCTGAAACTTGTACCCATTAAACAATTCCTCTTTTTCTTCCACCCCTGGCCTGTGGTAACCACCATTCAACTTGATGTTTCTGTGAATTTGACTATTGCAGATGCCTCATGTAAGTGGAATTCTGTAAAATTTACCTTTGTGTAATTTGTTTATTTCATTTAACATAATGCCCTCAACATTTACCATATCATGTGACAGGACTTTCTGTTTTTCAGGGCAGAATAATATTTCATTGTATGTATACACCATATTTTGTTTACCAATGCATTCATAAATGGACATTTGGGTTATCTCCAACTCTTGGTTTTTATGAATGGTGCTAGCTGGGCATGGTGTCACATGCTTGTGATCCCAGCAATTTGGGAGGTTAAGGCAGGAAGATCAAAAGTTCAAAGCTAGCCTCTGCAACTTAGCCAGATACTGTCTCAAAATAAAAAATAAAGAGGCCTGGGGATGGCACAGGGGTTGAGGCTCAGTGGTAGAGCGCTTGCCTGGCATGTGTGAGACACTGGGCTCTATTCTCAGCACCACATATAAATAAATGAATAAAATAAAGGTTCATTAACAGCTAAAAAAAAATTTTTTTTAAAGGGCTGGGGTGTGTGGCTCACTGGTTAAGAGGCCCAGGGTTCAATCCCCAGTATCAAAAAAAAAAAAAAAATAGGTGCTAAGTATTTGCCATAAATTAGGTAGCTTACAAAAATAACTTATTTCTTACAGCTCTAGAAGTTAGGAAGTTCAAGATCAAAGCAC